CTCTCCCACTCCCTCGCTCCCCACCCTCGCCATCCTCCGGCCTCTGGACCCGATATGCCAGAGTCAGGGCAGAAACCTCAGGGAGACTGGGTCGACCCGCTCTGGCTCTGCCCACCGTGCCTTTCCCGGCCCGACCTCCTCACGAAGGGCGCTGCAGCGGGGCTCGCCCAGGGGCTGGCGAGGGTGGGCGGCGCAGCCGGGAGGGTTCGCGAGGAGGCTGTGGCTGGAGTGGGTGCGAAAAAAGCAGACCGCGGAGGGCGCAGGAGCCGCGGGGGCCCCTGGGTGGGGGGTGCTGGCAGAGGGGAGGCGGTGGTCCGTGAGCGGTGGGAAGAGTGCAGGCAGTGTCGGGCCAGCTCCAGGGCCCTGCCTTGCAGAGCACAAGGTGCCTGGTCCTGGGGTTCCCGGTGTGCTTCACCCTGGACTGGGGAGTAGAGGGGTTGGGGCCCTGGCGGCTGGGGCTGGAACCCTGGCGTGTCCAGGCCTTGGCACCTGTGCTCTGGGGGCCACCCTCTCCAGAAGGGAGCACGCGGCCTGGAAGTTCACCTGTGTGCTATCTGCCCACCCAGGGTCCAGGTGGGGCCCTCACCTGCCCACTTGCCTTGTCCCTGCCCCTCCTGCCAGCCTGGGGTTCTGGGGAGAAAGCGAGTGGGAGAGCGCCTGCTGCGCAAAGTGTGAGGCAGTCCTGGCTGCTGCTGAGCCTCCTTTGAAGGGAACAGGTTCCTGGGGACAGTGGCCACTCGAGGGGAGGACGGGGAGCCTCCTGGGCAGACGTGGTCGCTGGCACCGATAACAATGACCCACCATTGGTTCCCAGTGAGATAGTGGCCGGGAGTTCTGAGAAAGTATGCTGGGGGCCAAATGTGGCTTTGGAAACTTCTTGCAGGGCATGCAGACCCTGCAGAGACCCTGAGGAGGGGGCTGTACCAGCCTGGCCTCCCTGTTGCTGCATGGAGCCCACCCTCACCCACCTCGGTTTCCCCCTCACGTGGAAGGGATACCCCAGACCAAGGCTGCCTTAAGGACAGATGGAGCGTGTTTCAGGGGAGGGACAGGAGTGGGGGTTGCCATCGGCTGCACCCACGATCCAGGCCGTCCCAGGGGAGGCAGGCCTGGGTGGGGGCCCTTGGGTGGTGCTGAGGCCTGTCCTCTTAGCCACGACATCCTCCGCCCATTTGCCCCCACCCTGCACAGGTGAGGCCCCAGGACCAGCAAGCCTCGATCTCGATCTCGGTGGCTTCCACAGCTGCCCCTGGGCTGCAGGGCCGGCTCCTTCCTGCTGACCTCACACTGGGTGAGCCTAGAAGGGATTGGACCACGCTGATCCTCCCCCAGGGCATGGCACACTTGAGCACCGAGGCCCCCTCCCAGGTCCCCCGGGGAGGCTCTGGCACATTCTCCACAGAGCCCAGGGTTCCTGGTGCTGGGGAGGAGGTGCTGGGCTGTTTGGGGCACGTGGGCGGGAGCGGCTATTGAGCACTACTATGTGTCGGGCAACTCAGCAGCTATTGAGCGCCACTGTGTGCCTGGACTCATTTCCTCTGCTCAGTGGCTTTGTAGGTGTCACCTATTACAGGGAGCCAGGGCTCAGACAAGTGGTGTGACTTACCTAAGACCCCTTGGCCAGTGTGTAGGGAAGGACTGGGGCAGGGGGTGGGCTCTATTCCCTGTGCCACAGCAGTGGGCAGGTGGTCCCTTCCTGGTGGGGGCCTCTGGGTCAGAAAGCCCCAGTGTTGGCCCGTGGTCGTTCCTCAGCTACCCCCCACCCCGAATCCCTTACCCGCAGAGGGGAAGGGCTGGAGGGATAAGTTCCCCACGAGCGTATGATTTCTGTGCCTAAGAAGATTGCTCTCTCTGAATGATGGCTCTTGCAGAATTATGTTCCAAGAGGCAGGAGCGGCACGATCAACCTAATTTTGTTCTTCACTTCTCTGAAGTTTAACTCAGGCGTTGGGGTATCTGGGGGGATGCAGGGGCCTGGCAGTCTGCTCAGCACCCTCTGGGTTCTGGGCAGCAGGAACACCTGGCCGCTTCCTGAAGACAAGGTGCTCATCTGATTTAGAATCAAACTCACGTTCAGGTGCGTCCGAGCTCCTTCTTCTCCACCCAGCCCCCAGAAAGCCTCTGCTTTGGATATCTTTGGGGAGAGGGTGTAGCCCCAGGACTCTCCACCCTGATGCTCACACAAGCCACCTGGCTGTCTCCAGACCAGCGTCCTTCTAGAATTCATTCCCCATTAGCACCTCAAGGGAGCTTTAAACATTATTTTACATTTAATTTCTTTTTAAAATGTGAGGGGGCCCCTCTGTGCCAGGCCCTGGGGAACAGGGATCAACAGGTCAATTCCCACCCACCAGATCAAGCCTGCAGGTGTCCAGTCTCAGAGTGTCTGGGGTGTCCCTCCTGCCACCTGGGCACCAGCCCCACCCACCCCTGCCCCCAACCCAGAGCACAGCCCAAGGGACCCCCAAGCTTTGTATTTTAAAACATCTTTTTTATTATTTATTTATTTATTTTGGCCACGTCTCGCGGCATACGGGATCTTAGTTCCCCAACCAGGGATCAAACCTGCACCCCCTGCAGTGGAAGTGCAGAGTCTTAACCACTGGACCACGGGGCAAGTCCCCCCCACCCCCACCCGCCGCCAGCTTTGTCTTGGAATGCGTCATCCCTTGGCAGCCTACCTTGGCCTTTTTTTTTTAACAGAATTTTTGTCATACACCTCATATCAGGTCATGATATACAGCACGTGTGCTCAGCACCTGGACCAGCAAATTCAGCAACGCACAGAGAAAGGTCTCTTTCCCCTTCAGGCCAGCCGGAAGCCTCCTCTGGGTGGGGATTCCAGGGGTGACAGCGTTTCTCTCTCCCCCGGCTCCCCCAGGTCCCCCCCCCCCCCCCCCCCCCCCCCCCCACTTACGGAACCTGTTGTCCTATCCTAACCCGCACTGTTCTGGGTTTCCATACAGACAGCCCGTCTGCGTTCTTCAGGGTTTTCTCTTCGTCCTCGACTCTCTGTAGGTTGACTCTGACGCTGCTGCATTTTTTCTTTATCCTGTTAGGGACAGGGTTTCCCTTTTGAGCAGGACTCTTGCCCTGAGTCAGTTCTGCAGGTACCTCTGCACCCCCACCACTGCACCTGCTCCGAGGGAGTCCTTCAGCCCCTCTTCCGATTCCCCCATTCTCTCTTCATCTGTGTCCAGACTTTTGTGGGGCTTTTTTTTTGGTCCAAATGATGATGTTTTTCACACCCAAGAGTTGTAATTTTCAAAAATAGACACTTGTTCATTTTACTCCTTAGACAGAAGCCAAATTCATTTCAGAATATTTTTATCCATACCTAGAGGATTCTAAACATTTGAAAACATATCTTAAGCACATTTGTTCAGTCATTTACTTTTATTTCACCTGAAACGAATCCACTGATCCACCTTCTCACTGTTGATTTTCTGGGTCGCGTTTCCCAGTGTCTGTTAGACACTGGGTGTGTCCGCCCATCTGGAACAGGGTTTTTCCCTGTCGTTGTCAGAGTTGGTTATTCTGCCCCCTTGTCTACAAGATTTCAGTTGCCCTCCCCAACCCTGGGGTCCCCAGTCCGGGCCTGGCGGCCTCTGTGCTGAGGTGACTTGGGAGCACGGGGGGTCAGCTGACCCTGGCTTGTCATTACGGCCCTTTCCAGCCCCGCTCAGGCCCTTGTCTTGGTCCCCTGGGGGCACTTAGACTCCCTGCTAGCCCCACATCCCCTGCCGGAGGTGTCAGCCCCCCTCTTCCCTTCCTCCTCTCCTTCTCATCAATGGAGGTATTTATTTTCTCCTGAGCATCACCGTTTTTATGAACAATTTAAACATAGAGAAAAGTACAAAAACAATATAATGGATACACGTGTGCCCATCACCCTAACCTGCAGATGCCATTCCCCCATCTTTGCCTTGGCTCTTTCTCTACAAAACCCCATCACCCCGAAGCCTTCCCTCCGTCCACGCTTCCCATATCGTTCCCCCGCCACACACGCACACGTGCATTTCCTCCTGGCCAGTGGCCCAGGCTGTAATTCGTCTCTGCCTGTCATGTGTTTGCTTGTTCATGGTGTGGGGTCCTCATATACCCCTTCCCGCTCGGTGCCCTCTGCCTGGGGCTTCAGACTTGCTGTCCTTGGGCTGGGTGATGGACCTGCCGGAGAGCATGTGCATCTATGTCCCCGGTCATCTCCTTGGCCCAGTGACATCCGTGCTGTGGCGGATAGCTGTTGGGGGCAGGGAAACCAGCTCCTCTTGGCCATACGGCTGGGGCTTTGCTGGGGTGACACGGACGTGGCTCACCAGTTGGACACTGGCAGAGCCTCTGCAGCCTGAGTTCTGGTTTTTCAGCCACACGGAAGGCCCGGCACCCTCCGATGGTTCCAGGAGGCAACCCAGAGTCCAGCTTTGGGGTCACCCAGGAGAGCGGGCTTGGCCGGTGTCACTGCACTTCTGGCTGGCCTGGGCTTGCGGTGCCCAGCCGATGTTTCAGCCTCCTTATCCCTCCCCCCACCCCTCTCCACCTGTCCTGCGAGTCCCCGGGGAGGTGACTCCCACCATCCTTAGTCCCTTATCTGCGAGTTGGGTGTATCAGTGCCACCCCCAGGACTCCACAGGGCCTCAGAGAGACGGTGCCAGCCACAGACTCGAGAGTGGCCATGGGTGAGCCAGGAAGGGGGGCATTGGGGTGGAGAGGGACGGTCAGGTCTCTGGAAGCCATCGTGGTATCGACAGACGGCGTCTAGGCTCACAGGGCCGTCTGCCCGTTGCCCCCACGGCAGCTGTCCTGCTGCTCCTTCCTCTCTGGGCTTGTTTTCCAAACAATTTGCTTAATGTGATTCCCAGCCCAGTTGAACATGAGTAATCATGTTTACCTGGCGCCACGGGGTAATCCTGCGCCTCCTGGGCCAGTGGGGCCGGGCGCAGGGGAGACACCCTCCTGGTCAGTCGCTCCGTGTGCTTCATTCTCTTGCAGTGGATGCGCCCGGCGCTCCCGCTCACCCTGCCCTGCCCGCGGCGGCCACGATGGAGCCTCTGTTCCCGGCCTCCCCACTGACCAGCTGGAATGCCTCCTCGGCAGCCACAGGCAGCGGCGGCGAGAATGGGACGCTGGCGGGGCTGGTGCCCTCACCGGGCGCCCGGGCGGTGGTGGTGCCTGTGCTCTACCTGCTGGTGTGCACAGTGGGGCTGGGCGGCAATGCGCTGGTCATCTACGTGGTACTGCGTCACGCCAAGATGAAGACGGTCACCAACATCTACATCCTCAACCTGGCCGTGGCCGACGTGCTCCTCATGCTGGGGCTGCCCTTCGTGGCCACACAGAACGCCATCTCCTACTGGCCCTTCGGCCCCGTGCTCTGCCGCCTGGTCATGACGCTGGACGGCATCAACCAGTTCACCAGCATCTTCTGCCTGACCGTCATGAGCGTGGACCGCTACCTGGCCGTGGTCCACCCCATCCGCTCCGCCCGCTGGCGCCGCCCTCGGGTGGCCAAGCTGGCCAGCGCCACGGTCTGGGCCTTTTCTCTGGTCATGTCACTGCCGCTGGTGGTGTTTGCAGACATCCAGGAGGGGTGGAACACCTGCAACCTCAGCTGGCCAGAGCCTGTGGGCCTGTGGGGTGCTATCTTCATCATCTACACGTCCGTGCTAGGCTTCTTTGGGCCGCTGCTGGTCATCTGCCTGTGCTACCTGCTCATCGTGGTGAAGCTGAAGGCCTCGGGCATGCGCGTGGGCTCCACGCGGCGGCGCTCAGAGCGCAAGGTGACCCGCATGGTGGTGGTGGTGGTGCTGGTGTTCGTGGGCTGCTGGCTGCCCTTCTTCATCGTCAACATCGTCAACCTGGCCTTTGTGCTGCCCGAGGAGCCCGCCTCCGCCGGTGCCTACTTCTTTGTGGTCGTGCTGTCCTATGCCAACAGCTGTGCCAACCCCTTGCTCTACGGCTTCCTCTCCGACAACTTCCGCCAGAGCTTCCGGAAGGTTCTGTGCCTCCGCAAGAGCTACGGCACTGAGGACGCGGATGCCACGGAGCCACGGCCGGGCCAGAGCAGCCGGCTGCAGGAGGCCATGCTGCCCGCACGCAGCTGCGAGGCCAACGGGCTCATGCAGACCAGCAAGCTGTGAGCGTGGAGGCCGCGGGAGGGGACCCCGGGAGAGGCCGTCCTGGGTGTGTGGAGCGGGGGCAGGTGAGGGTACAGGAACCCACTGCCACCTCTTCTGCTTTCCTTCCCGGAGAAGGAGGGGGACTGGAGCAGAAGAGGAGAAATAGCCAGACAGCAGTGGGGGGAGCGGCCTCCCAAGGCAAACAGCAGACTGGAGAGGCCAGGCCGAGTGAGGCGTACGCAGATGCCAGACCCTGGAGGAATTCGGCTTCCTGTCCTCTCCACCCCCGAGAAATGCGCTCCTCCCACCCCCCAGGCCCGAAAACGGGTCCCAGAGAAGATGCCCTGGCAGCCTCGCTGGGAAAGGCCTTGGGCTCCCTGGTGCTTGGGCCTCTTTGCGAGGCTGGAAGGAGAAGAGCCAGAATGTGGGGGTCACTCACCCGCAAGCCCCCATCTGAGACAGCCCTGCCCAGTGCCGCCCCCAACTCAGTTGTCCTCAGTTGTCCCAGAGCAGGATGCCGACACCAGGAGGGTGCGGGGAGCAGGCAGAGCCGTGCTGAGCAGGGGAAAGCCTGGGTCAGCGCTACCTGGGCCTCGGCACGGACCCCAGACAGAGGCCAAGCCCTGGAAACGAGATCACATAATAAGGGCGCTTGTGTTTGACAACCGCTCCCTGAATAAATTAGAGAATAAATGTTTGACTCTTTCCCAGAGCAAATATTGTCCCTGGAGCCGATTGAAGCCAGTGCAAATCAGAGCAAGTGGATCATACTCGGCTGGATGGGGGTAGGCAAACACCCAGCTGGAAGTGGGCAGCAGGACACTTAGATGATAAGGCAGGGGAAAGTGTACACAAGCCAGCTGAAAGGAACGACAGGGCTGGGGCTGTCCCGGCTCGCCTCCTGGGGGTGGCAGGGTTAGGATTTGGCCCCGGAGGATGCAGGGGATGCATCTGATTCTTCCATGGCTGGTGGGTGCGGGGAGTGGGTGGCTCATTCGGGGCCCCTGCCCCCATCCCTGATCAAGTGGGAACACGGCCGCCTCCTGAGCCCCAGGCTGTCTCTGCCACTCGTGGGCTCCGTCTTGGGGGTGGGGCTGACTAAAGCCACCCCCGCCCGGCCCTAGGGGGACCAGCATCCCAGGGAGGGATGGGTGCCTGGGAGAAACAGGTTCGTTCAACCAACCACTTCCCACCACCCCTGGGTTCGGATGCAAAGTGCATCCACTCAGAATAATTTGGGGGAGCAAGCAGATGGCTCAGAAATATCTGCCCAGGTCAGTTTCTCCCAATTGATTTGGCATCTTGATCTCCCTCCCCAGGGTAGCGCCAGCCAAGAGTGCCCGTGTGGGGACTGCAGACACCAGCAGCAACCTGACCAGTCCTGCCTGTGATGGGTGTGAGGGGCGTGAGTGTGTGTGCATGTGTGCCTGTGTGTGAGTGTGTGTGTGTATGTGCCTCTGTGCGTGCACGTGCCTGTGTGTATATATGTGTGAATGTGTGGGTGTGTATGCGTGTGCATGTGTCTGCTTGTGAGTGTGTGTGCCTGTGTGTGAGTGCATGTGTAGACATGTGTGTGCCTGTGTGTGTGCCCAGAGCCTGATGGACCCAGCGAGTGGAGGAGCTGATTCCAGGCAGCCCATGGACCCTGGGTCCGGGTGGGAGCTGGTGACCAGGACTGGCCATGGTGGGACACCGAATGGGAGGAAGTGAGGACTAGGCACTGCTGAGAGCCTGTAGGGAAGTGGGGACAGGAGTGTTCCAGGAGAAACGTAAGCCCAGGGAACCGTGGACATGGCACGGTGGGCCTGGGGATGCAGCCTGGACTGGCCACTGCCCTCCGCACCCAGCACAGGCTGGGCACAGCTGCGGGGACCACAGAGCCGCCACCACACTGCTTGCAGGTCCCGGGTCCACAGGCCCTGAGTGGGGCAGGGGGCGGGGAGAGCAAGTGCCCTCGGGGGGTGACCTGCTTTACTGTCTCTCTCTCCGCATCGATGGGTTTTATTGGCCACTGGGCTCCAGTGGCTCCCAGAGTGACCTTACTCAGGAAATCCGGCCCGCGGGGCAGGGTGAGGCTTCCTCTGGGATCGGGATGGGGGGGCTGTTTGCCAGGCAGAGGGGGTGCAGGGGGGGGGGGGGGGGTGACGGAGGCGCAGCCCCCACAGGCAGAGCCGGTGTTGTAGCCCCACAGTGAGGGAGACCAAGGCTGGCCCACCCTGAGGGCTGAGTGAGGGGTGCCCTGGGTAGGGCCCCAAGGAAGGGTCAGGAAGGGCCCACCCTCTTGGGCATTTTGGGACAGGAGGAAGGCAGACCATGGGTAGACACCAGGAAGAACTTCCCACAGGAATCTGGGGGCTGAGAGCTGGGACACCCTTTGGGGGTGTCAGGGAGGTGATCGACGTTGAGAATAGGGTCTTGGCTGGTCACCTGTCAGGGCCCCAGCAGAACCCTGGACTTCAAGGACTGGGTGGGCTGAGGACTTGGAGAGACTGCTGGGTCCATGACCCCGCTCCATCCTGGCTGATGGGGGATCCCAGCCCTAAAGTGCTGCCTCCCCTCCGCTGCTGTCCTGTGCAGACTGGCCCATGCTATCCTGGCTCCTGAGGGCTGGTCTGGCCACCATGAACCTGAAGTGTGTTTGCTGAATGAATAACTGAGTGATTGATGTGATGATTGATAATTGAGTGATGGCGGCTCTGTCCAGTTGGGGTCCTTACCTTGAAGGTCCAGTGACTGTCCAGGAGCCTGACTGGGGTCCCCGTCTCCGTCCTTCCCTCCCCGAGCTCTCACCCCTCTCCAGGGCCCTTGCTCCTCCCTGTCCCAGGCCCACCCCCTCCCCACTCCCTCAGGCTGCATATCTGGACATGGTGGTGACAGCTATGCATTTGTTGTATCTGCACTGATGGGGGTCTGGGGGCTCCACCTGCGTGGGTCCCCACACTGGGGGCAGCAGGGTCTCTACCCGAGCAAACCTCCCTCCCCTGGCCCCTGCCTCTGGGGAGGGGGGTTGAGGCCCTTTCTCAGCCACTCTCTTCCGTGGCATCTGCACAGACAGCTGACCGTGGCTGCGGGGTATAGGGCGCTGGGCCTGTGGGTGTGGGCACTGGGGCACCCCAGGAGGGGGAGGGCATGGTCCTCCTGGTGCCATCCACAGGGGCCGGCGCTGGGCAGTGGGGACTGGCCATGATTCCCTTCTGCTCCCACCCCGAGTGGCTCCCCGTGCCCCCCACTTGTCCCACCCACCCCCCGCCCCCCAGGAAACAGGTATCCCCTCCGTTTGGGCAGTTTGAGGAGGGTTTAATTAAAGGATGTTTTGCAGAGTGGTGGGTGGGTAGTTTTACCACCTGGCGGGTGGGGGATGGGGCTCTCAGGACAAGGAGACCCACGGCCCTCCTGCAGCCGAAGGCAGCAGCCGTTCTGGGGACGGAGTGCCCACCCTCTCCCCTCCCCCTTCCCACACGCTGCCAGGCTCCCATTGCTGGGCACCTGAAAGGTGGCCTGGTCCGTAGGGGTCCGTGCCCTTGTGGTCATCAGGCCTGAGAGGGCGGCCCTAGGATGAGGGTCAGCTTCCAGGGTCCCCCGACCTCTCCCCACACTGGAGCCCGGCTCCCACCCTCCCTCCTAGCTGAGCCCCCAGGGGCCATGCTGAGGGGTGCCTGGGACCAGGCAGGATCTGGAAGCTGTTGATGCAAAGGGGAGGGGACCCAGGCTCCCCTGAGCTGCGCTGCTGGGTTTCCTTCTCCTGACCCATGGCTGCGGCCTTCTCGGCCCTCTGGACTGTGGACCTGTCTGCCCATGTGTCCTCTGGAGCCACCCTGCTGGGGCCCACGAGGCCTGGCCCACGGGTTCCCTGAGGGACACAGATGATGGTGGTGATCAGGCAGCTTGGAAACAATATCTGGACGCGATGCCCTTGGTGGTCGGTATAGAAGGAGCACTCCTTCCCTCACGGATGAATCTCCTGTCCTCTCAAGATTTCTCCGTCCATCTGGGGGCTCATTAGAAGGCAGGAACCCCACCCTTGCTCTCCCCAAGGCAGGAGCACTTCCTAGCGTCATGAGTTTTGGCTTCAGGACTGATGTAGAACAACATTTTCTATTTTTACAAAATCAAACCTATCCGTCTTCTGCTTGGGAAATTCCTCCTTTTTTAAAAAAAATATGTCTTTCCCATCCAGAAATTAGCTAAATATTCCCACGTGTTTTTTAGTTGTGGTACAATACACACTCCATAAAATGTGTATGGAGGGACCGACAACACTTTATTGGTTCATCATCGATAGATAACCTGGATGTTCCCACTTTTGGGCTGTTGTGCGTTGTGTGTGTCCCACATATTTTTAACGGTTGTATTGCTGACAACTCTTCACTGATATCTGCTTTAGTCCATGAGGTGACCCTTGAACGCAAACGCCCCCTCATCCCAACCCCGCTTGTACCTAGGGCTCTTGTCCCCCTGGGTGACTGGCCTCTGGGGGTTCCTGTTGTCTGCCTGGTGGTCACTGCACTCATCACCATATCTTCCAAATCTGTTTCCATGTCCAAGAGAGCACACAGAACTGAGCTGGCTCCTGCCTACCCATTCCTCCAAGCGCCCTTCAACACTATTTTACAAAGTTAGAAAATGGGTGTTATACGCAGGTGTTCATCGTAGCACAAACAATAGCCAAACGGTGGGAACAACCTGAATGTTTCTCAACAGGTGAACAGGCAAACCGTGGTCCATCCGCACAGTGGGGCGCCCCTCAGCCGTGGCAAGGGGTGAGGGGCCAGCACACACTACAACACGGACGGACACGAGAGGCCACAGAGTTTGTGATTCCACTTACACAAAATGTCCAGAAGCAGCAAATCCATAGACAGAAAGCAGGGGGTGGGGGCGGGGTGGGGGGAGTGCCAGCTCGCGGGTTCGGGATTTCTGTGGGGTGATGAAAACGTTCTGGAACCAGATAGAGATGTGGGTTGCACGACGTTGTGAATGTACTAAATGCCACTGTATTGTTCACTTTAAAATGGTAGATTTTATGGTATA